CTTCCCATCCGTAGGTGTCTATGTTCAATCTTCAAGTACTTACATTCGTTCCCTTTTGTGCTGTCTTTGTCCTTTCCTCAGAAGCATCCCATTAAACTTCCCTCAAACTCCCTCTGGATCCTCTTTCAAATTCTTCCTTAACCTTTTTCTTTGCTGGGCTGTCAACAGACTCCTTGTCAATAGTAAAACATTTAGAGTGCTGAGACCACAATTCTCCTTGCTGCCTGGTTTTGTCTGATTGCTTTTTTGTATTTCCTATCTATACCCAGTTGTTATTGCTTGTATTAGATTGTAAACTCCTGCAGTCAGGACCTTTTTTGTATTCTGTGTTTGTCCAATACCCAGCACAACGGGGCTGTTCCACAGTCTGAGCAGCCAGGATCTGTGGTGGTATAAGCAAAAACTATGTAATAATAGTAATAACATAATGAGAAGTTAAACGTGGCATCATGTGCAATACGAGCTGCTCTCCTCCCTTCCCCCTCTTCCTTCAGATTCGCAATATTTCCAACTTTTTATACAACAGAAAACAGTAAATGAGGAGGTTTCAGAATAAAGTATAGTAGCTGATGTTTCCTTTCAGCTGTTGAAGTGTTTCCCTGTGACTGACTCGGTAATGATGCCATTTCCAGCAGTTTCAGCAGGGAAGCCTCTGTAGGCACCTCTGTATGTCCCCCCAAGTTAAGAACAACGTGTGGCAGCCAGGCTAGGCTGAAGGAAGGTCACGGCCAAGGTTATGAACCTCTTTCATGCAAAAATAGAGGACTCCAGTCTCCCAGGCTTGCTGCCAACGTATCACCTTCTAGTTTTGCTGAAATGATCTTGAAAAAGGACCTAAAAAAGGCTGAAGGGGCAAAAGAAGAATGTTGAAATGACATAGTTTCATCTTCGTGCAGTTTAGTACTAATTTTGTCCTTTGTCTTTAAGCTGCCTTTTAAGTGCTGTTTGTCTCTGTGGGAAGCAAATGGGTCACGTTGTTCTATGTTTCTACTGTAATACGCTGCCTGCTATTTTCCTCTTAGATTATTTGTGTAATCTTTTTTGTGCAATCTGTTTGTTCTTGAGTCTTGCAAGCTTTGCCTTTGCTACTTCTTTCCCAATAAGCAGTGCAACTTGTTCTGTATTCACTCATGGGTATTCTGCACACAACGGACTGGGTTATTTCAACCAGTGTGAAAATATTAAAATGGGGAACATGTGTGGGCACTTAATTGTGGTGAGTCCGACCACAAATACCTTCGCCGTTGGTAATTGGCACACAGGAAAAGCAGACCTTTGTTTTGTTTTTATCAGACATAATGATAGATACATTGTTTTTAGTGGGGTTTTTCTGGTTTTCTAAGGAAATGAGGCTTGTGCAATCGCACTGCCTGTGTGCATGTGCCTGTCTGTTTGTCAATTCTCCCTCACCAATAACGCTTGATACTAATAGCCATTTTCAAACAAATTTGAGTGAGGCGCAGGAGTTGGGAGAAGAAACCTGGTTTTACACAAGTCTTGTGAGTTCTCAGATTGCACCAAAGTCTGCAGAAGGTGCAGCCTTTAATGGCCGCATCACTGCAAGCCAGATCGGTCATGTATTTGCCTGTGTGCCTTTACGTGGATCCAGCCACCTAACTGTAAGCTCCCAAATTTGAATATTTTGGCTTACTTGCTTTTACCCTTCGGGCGAGTGAGTCAGTTGGGGGTGGTGCTAGGCACAGAGCTTGTGTTTTGATTCTCACTGGAGTGGCCACGTCTCATGAAAAACATGGTTTGCTCCAGGCCACAGTGTTACAATTTGCATATAAACTTATGAAAAAGGAAGCTTTCTTTAAGCTTTCCTGTGCGAGAGTTTACAGGAGCATTTCTGTCTGTGTACATAATAGCAGAAGCTGGACTTCTCATAAATGTAGATGGGTTAAGTCTGTCGCTGCCTGAATGGGAATCTTCTGTGGAAAAACCCAGAAAGAGGAAGGAAAGCCTAAGGAAATACCAACTTCAAGGGGAGAAGTTGGCCAAGACTTCTGCTCTTTGGTTTGTATCTGGCCACCAGCAGTGTAGTTGGGGAATGCCTCGGAGCCGTGCAGGAATGTAGCCTCAGGGCACCTTTGGGAGGCAGAGAAGGTGTCTTTATGCCCTTTGCTCAAAGAGAGGACGGAGGTACAAAGGCACCAAGTGATTTGCCAGAGATTACAAGAGTATATGCATGAGTTAGGAAACAGACCCAGGTCTCCTGACACAAGAAGTGCAGCCAGAAGTATGGTCTACATGTAGACAGCTTCTCCAGCAAATGGAGAGATGCCTTGGTCAAAGAGTAAGATAAATGTTGAAGTATACAAGAGCTGGCTAAATTGTGAATGTGAGAAGAGGAGGAGGGGAAGAAAAGATTCCCACATGTTCTACTCAGATGTTAACAAAGAAAGCTGAGAAGTGTTTGCATAGACACTACATTATTCCATGTCCAAATGCCTCATAAAAATAATACCGGATGATCACAGAATGGCACACCAGGGAAAATAAATTCTTCAGCGGAATATTCCCTCTGGAAAAACACTGTGTAAAGTAATACACTAATGGCTTTCAATTTCATGTTTTATATATAGAGATATTAACTGCTCCCCAGACGTCTCTTCATATTACAGCCCAGCTACACGAGCAGTTTGGAGAAGGCCCCGGAGCACACTCAGTCTTGTCCGCACGCAGGACCAAGCAGTGCTCTCCTGTTGTACGTGCAACTCCTGTGGTGTATATAGTAGGTTTCTTCTGCCTCCTTCCCAGAGCAGTACTGCTCCCGTGGTTCTTTCCAGTGGGATTTTTTTCTTCTTCTTCCTAGTCCTCATGGTTTTTTCCGTTCTTCCCCCATGCTCCATAGCCTTACCACCATGCTGGGAACCCTTCTGCATTCCTTCTCTGCTCATAAAAAGGGAGTCCTCACAAGAAGCGTTACAGTGGAGTGATTAAAGTACAACACTGCCAATCAAAATGCTAATAACAAATGCTAAAGAAAGTCAAGTGTAAAAACAACATTATTAATTCCTTTTTGGGGGGTTTCCAGGCTTGTCTGGATTTATCTGGTGATTTCTCTCTCCACGTTGCTCAGACTGGGAGCTGTTTGAGTCAGGAACTGTCTGTCCTGTATAATGCCAACTACGGTTATGCCGTTGTAGCAAATCAGAATGATCTGGGTTCTTTTCCAAGCTTTCCTAATATATCTCAAATGTGTATATATATCATCCTGCCGCATCCTGAGGGATCCAAAAGTAGCTTACATGCCTTGTTCCCTGGATGTAGCCTACTGGAGTCTGGGACAGTCAGGGAAGAAGTCGTGAGTGTGGGGACAATGGTGTTCCACTGCGCAAGGACAGCAGCCCTGCTCTTGGGATGATGAGGCATGTCCAAGTCCTTTTAGGAAGTTTTCAGTATTTGTTTGAAAAGGCCAATAAACACAGACCATAGTGTGAGAGAACATTGTACCATTGCTGGATTATTTAATTATTAGGGACGTATCACTTGTATACGCATTTACGAGTGATTCTATTTTGAACTCAGTCTGCCTTCCTGCTTGCACCTCAGCTCTCGATTCCCTTCCCCTCCTTCCCACCCTCAGCAACCACACCACTCCACCCATAGAGCCTTGAAGGAGAAGTGCAGGGTCCCAAGACTGGGGACACCACAATTATTCTCAAACTGGAGAATACCATTTTGAGTGGGACAAAGCCCCAAACCATAGTTGCTCTGTTGCCTTCGGTGGGGCTCTCCTGCGTAGGGTGGCTGAGGTTGTCCTAAATACCTTCCATGACTCTGTGCATGAATTATTTTCAACACTGATTGGGTAAGGACATCAGACCTGCATGGGATATCCCCGTTTTCTAGAACTCAAATGAATGGCAGAGGAAAATTGCAAAGGTGTGCCTTCCACCCACCCTCTTCCATCATCTCTGCGCCACAATCTTCACTAGGAAAATGTCTTTCCCATGATCTAAGAAACCCTCTTTCTCTGAAATCCTGTCTTCACTTTAAATCTATCTGCCACATAACATTTTCAAGGACAATCTGAACAAGGCAGCAAGCCTTTTGCACATGTGTGTGTGTGTGTGTGTGTACAGATTTTTTGTGTTATGTATTTATGTATGGCATTAGGGACCTTTTTCAGAAACAGCCAGAGCTCTTAGGGCTTGTCTTAGAGTCCTTACTAGCAGCTTCTGATACACCTTTCTTGAAATACAGTAAGAGTAATGCATCCACACATCAGTTTCTTGAGGAATAGTTTCTGTGCTTTAAATAGACACAATATCTTAATCCGTATTAATCTTCAAACAGAAAAAAAGTCATTTTTCCATGTAAGAGATGATATTGCACTCTTTGTAATCACTCAGTCTTTAGCTACTACTTTTTATTTAAAATATCAACTAGCTCAGCATCAGCATGTTAGCAAGAGCGTGAGGATTGATACTGCTATACTGGCAAAAGTCTAAAAGTGAAATCTTTTTGCCAGTATAATTGGCTCCATTGAGGGAATTGGTTTAAGCTGTACAAGCAAAAACTACTCTTTAAATGGTAACAATTGCACTGCCACCAGGCAGCTTTACGAGGCATCCTACCACAAAATCCTTTCATGTGGAGGCAAGGCTTTAGGCACAGGTTTATCCCATCTAACTGAGGAGCTGAGGATGACTATATGGCTGGGTTAGATGATAGCTTGCATCTAGGTTTGCATCTGGGGCTTACACTCCTTACGATTATCACTGGCTAGCAGCAGCAGTAGAAGTGATATCAGTGCAGTCTTGAGAGCCAGTTTCAAGCCCCTCTAGATCTTTTCATATGGGCTAGGACCAGAGTGCCTTCCAGTGGCACTGGATCTTTGCCAGTCTTTGCCAGCACTGGCACAAATTGCTCTTCTGTTGACTGAGCTGCTGTGTCCCCCTTACCCACTATGCAGCACAGGCGTGCAGGAGGACCTTCTCTGCAGTTGAGACCAGGAGCTTGCTTTGACTCATGTCCTTTCCCTCTGGTGACAGGCCGCTGTGCCCGCTGTGGGGAGAATGTTGTTGGGGAAGGCACTGGCTGCACGGCCATGGACCAGGTCTTCCACGTAGAGTGCTTCACCTGCATGATGTGCAACAACAAGCTGAGGGGACAGCCTTTCTATGCAGTGGAGAAGAAAGCCTACTGTGAACCCTGCTATATTGTAAGTAACTATTCTTGTTTGCACCCTGATTTTAATGCACGGACATTGGAAACATTGATTTCTTTCATTGCTGTACAGTTGCCTTGCAGTTAAAACCTGAGAATTCCATGGCAGTACCATGAGCACCAGTTCTTCCATGGTTTTCAGAACAGCTCTGATCTTTTCAGCTTCCTGGGTGAATTTCGTTTCCTGGTCTAACCTATCTCTGAAATGAAGTGGCCAAAGCAGGGGAAAGAGGTGCTTTTTGTGATTATTTCAGCTCTGTAAGGAGCAGGCTATGCAGTGATTTTTAAGAGGTACTGTTGCTCTCAGAAGCTTTGTGTGTTGAGAAACCTGTTACCAAAATGCTTACAGACTGTGGTACCTCCTAAGATTAAGGAGGTGGGATGCAAGATAGCACTAAAACTTCTAAAATCAAGACCTTCGTGTTGCTTGATGGAAGTCCTTCTACTGAACTAAGGGTCTTTGGATTGGATATCTTTTGAAGCTTATCTTACCCTAAAACTTCATTTCATGCCTCCAATGAGCTCTTAAAGCAAACAATTAACAGTTGGTCTGAGGAGCTGCACCTTTTAAGAGGCTCCCATAAGAGCTAGTTGGAACCAGTTGCACAGTTGCAAATTAAAGAAACATCACATAATGTGCCTGAGGCCTCGCCTTGCTGTGACCTTAGCATATAGGGATAATCCCTGTAATTTAGAATAAGAAAAGCACCAAAACATTCTTAGTGTTGATAGGTTTTTCTCTAAACCCCCAATTCGGAGTTCTTTTTATGAACAGTGGACCTGAGACCCTTCCAGAATTGGATTTGCACTTCTGAAAGTAAAAATTGATGCTTTTCTTGACATTTTTGGCATTCCAATAATAATTAAAACAATAATATGTATTTCTGAAAATGCCACAAATATCCCATTATTCCTTCTGTTTCTGCAGAGCCTTTGCAGTGGAATTATTGCTGAAATATTGAATATAAGAAGGGAAGATTCTATCTTATTTACAATGGCAGTGATATATAGGCCTTGTTAATTGGCTTTTAAAAACTAAATGATCTTTTAATGGAATATGTACCTTTTAAACCATTTCCATTTTTGTTTGCATTAAAATGATTGCACCATAAAACATTTAAGGTTAATTTCCTAGCAAGTTTGACCATGTGCAAAGCACTGCGGACTTTAGCAGGTGCATTCATAATATGATTGGAGCAACTTTATGTAACTGGAATTAAATGTTTCAATGACTTCAGGCTTGCAGATTGATACTTTCTTTTCTTCTTTTTTAAGTCAAGCATGCATTCTTCACCACTCATCTGCTTTAGTTTGGGAAAACATCTGCATTAGCCACTGTAGGAATGGTTAAGATTATTTAATCCCATTACTTATACACTTCATTAGCCTGAGTGAATTGTTGGCAAGGGTTCAGTAAACTTCCTACATTGGGAGATAAAAGGATAAAAAAGGAAAAGGAGAAGGATTCTGTTCCTCGTTTTCTTTCAAATTTATCTTCTATCTATTTAAGGGATAAAGGAACGATAATTGCCTGGTTGCATCTGCGTTTGTACGTTCTGTGATACGGCTTTGCAGCTCTCAGTACAGAGGAAAGAGTAAACGTTTTAATAGCTTTCTTTTATATAACCAGAAGGGGCCTTTAAATGTTTATCCATGCAGTCCACAAAACCTGGTTATGGACTTAACCCAAAACATGTCTGGATCCATCTGCTGCTGCACATGCAGGGGAGAGGATGGTGATGCTGATGGGGCTATGTATGTGTAGCTGGACAGCTGGTACCGTGAGTGGGAAACAGAAAGCAGGAGTCTGGCAATCTGATGCAGCAAAGATGGGGGGGGGGGGGGGGGAGGAAAAAAAAAAAAAAAAAAAAAAAAAACCAAGCACACATTAAACTCTTAAATGTGGAAGAAACAAGTGTTGAGAGCCTAATTCTCAATACCCTTCAGAAAGCTCAGGACTCTGCTGTGCCGAAAGTCAGATCTACAAGCGATCTAGGTACCTGCCATGCTATTTGTTTGAGGCCTGAGGAATTTGTGTTGTAGAGCGTATGTCTCATTGATTTTTCAATGAAATGAGGTCTGCGTTGGCTTCAGTAGGATGATGAGTGCGTAAGTACACTAAGGGCCTGAGCTAGGCTTGCAAGTTGTTCTTGCAAATGGATTGGGTGCCCTTAAATTGCTGAGGCACAATCTGAATGCTTTTGCCTTCGGATGTGTGATGCGGTCATACTGAAGTCAATGAGAGTTAATGACCTGCTTAAAATCTAGCCTGTGCTTAAGGATTTTGCTGAATTGTGGCCTCTCATTTTTTTGGAGCTTTCCCAAGTCCCATTACCAGAAAATGACTTGGACACTTGGAGCCCTAGTTCTGTAGAAAATCAATGGGACTGAAGAACCCAGACTCAGATTCCTGTGGACCTGAATTACCATGAAAGGTGGAGCCTGTGTGACTAGCCCGAGATTGCACAGCTAATCCATGGCTGTGGCCAGCTGAGAAAACAGAATTCTCAGCTGGTATAGATCTGAGTAATTCAATGAAGCATGTTTACTAGTCTACCTAATTCACACTGATTTCTAGCACACATCCCCATTTCCCCAAGTCCAAAACTCTTGACCAATTATGCAAGCCATTAGGCCAAGCTCCTTCATTTATATCAAGAAAATGAACTAAAATATTTGCCTGGTCGTGATATATAAATTCATGAATTCTTTGATTTTTTTTTTTTTTTTAATAATTCCCTTGTGTGACTTGTGGCCGTACGTGCATAAAAACTATGTGCAAAAATAAAAATACACGTTTTTCAACAGTTAGAATTGGCTAATCTTCTCAGATTATTATGTGATTCTTCTTAGTTGTGGTGGAGTGAAGCCATAATTAAGATTACTGCGAAGAGCTGTATTTAATTACTTGTTAGTCAATACCAAGCCTAAATAGCCTGCAGAAGGGTTGTTTTTTTGTTTTTGTTTCTGGTTTTATTTATCAGTGACCCAGTTAAAATGAAATTCCCCAAAAGTCTGAATTAACATGTAAGGAGATCAATCACCTGTTTTTAAAAAAAAAAAAAAAGTTTTTCCTAATGGGAATTTGAGTACCAGAGTTAACTTCTTTCACACAAAAATCCCCCCACCCAAAACCCAGTCACTATCATTTCCTGTTACATCTTATGAATGCAGTGAGTTCTGTTGCCAATGTGTTTGCTGGTTTTGCTCTGCATCCAAGGATTCTTTCATTATTAATGTTATTTCTAAAAGAGTACCAGTCTTCTCCATTAAGACGCTTCTGCTGAACTAAAAGCAACTGTAAAAAATAAAGTGTAAATAGGAGACAGATGTCTCCTAGTCATTACGACAGTCAAGTAACATCTGAAATATCACGATAGAGTTTCCAGTGTAACCAACGTATTGCTGTACACGTGATGAATGCTGTGTCTGCAGTATGTTATCAGTATACTTTCCCCCTCCCTTACATGGCAAATTACTGACAAAAAACATTTGGTTTGCTTCCTCTAAGTAGTTGAAGAGATTTTAGCACTGGGCTCAGTGCAGAGAAAAGGTTAAGAGTAATATCAGTGGAACCGTTGTTATAAAAGATTGAAGAGCAAGATGTTAGAGCAGTGCCAGCTGTCTGCTTTCCAAATACCGTATTATCATAAGGACTGAACACAAGGTTAACCAGACACACCGGTCTGGCAAGAGTGATGCTGCTGTTTTGTGAATGGGACGTTCTTTGATGTCCTGATGACTTTCTCCGGGACACGGAAATTTTCCTCCGTTCTTTATCCCCTTTCTGGCAGTCTGGAGGTTGGCGGTTGGAGGTACTCTCTGAGGCTGAGGGCTGAGAGGTGTGAGCACCTGCAGTTAGCGCAGAAAGCAGCAAGATCTTGCAGATGCTCCTGGCTTCTGAGGGTTTCTTCTATCGCGTCCCAAGTCAATGTGACCCACCGCTGGGCCCTGAGGGAAGGACCATGGTGCGATGGGGAAGGGGATGAGAAAGCAGAAATAACTAACCAAGCAAAGCAGAAATCGCCAGAGTCAGATGAAAGAGAGTTCAGAGAAGTGGTGGGCTAGAAATGGTAAGCGATTGAAGAAAAGGAAAGAAACTGTCTCACGTCTGTCTGTCTAGCTAGAGTGGGGGAAGATGGTGGGTATGCTCTGCAGTGCCCTATGGACACTCAGGGTTTGAGGTTTCCTGTTTCTGCTGCGCACTGTGAGATATTGAGGACATGACCTTAAACCCCACTCCAAAGATCACTTACAAGGATTTTGCAGGATGAGGTTCATCTTTCCATAGTACTAAAGCTGTGGAAGTGCTTGAAGGGGGAAGAATTGTGCGTGGAAGTCATGCCCTGATCACTGCTGTTCCCCAACTTTAAACTCGGGATCGTAGTGCTCCACCTTTTTTCCCCCGATTATTTGTTTTGTGAGGGGGGAAAAAAAAGTATCTTCAAGTTTTCTCTCTCTTACTGACTTCTAACTTCCTGGCCTATCAGAGGCTGTAGTTCAGTAGGAGAAGATAGTTCAGACCAGAATACAAGAGAAATGCTGATGTTTTAGCAAGTGGTATGACTAGAGCCACTGGTGCCACGGAGCATCCTGGGAAAGCTTAAATTTGCTAATCATTCTGAAATGTTAGTGTTAACTCAATTTGTGCTCATTGAAATCTCTGGTAAAACTGCTATCACCTTCAGCGTAGCTGGTATTGTAAACCTCACCCTGTGTGCACACGTGAGTGTGGTTGTTTGAAAGCTGTGCAAGAGCAGCTACCTCCAGCACATACGGTTTAAAGTATAAGGTTGATCCCTGCAGTAAAATCGCATCTATTTTTAAAAATAATTCTGCAATTTGTAAGCAGAGATTACAGCACTAATTTAGCAACCATGTAACAATTTAAATTGGACCAGAAAAGAGAAACTATAATTTAAAGATTTTTTTTTATGATACAAGTTTTCTTCTTTTTAAAGTAAAAAGCCCTTTATTCTTGTTTTTGTCAAGCAA